ATTAGCGTTGTCCCGCAAGTAGCTGTCACACTTAGTCCACAATTGGCTAATTCCACTTACCAAGTTTTTCTTGCTGGAATGCTCAGATTTCAATAGTGTTTTTTTCCAGTGTGTAATTGGGATGGTTTTATATTTAAACAGCAACAATACCTAATCTGGAAGTTCTGAGAGTGAGATTCTTGCAAAAAAATTTATTGAAGCAGCGCAATTTTCCAAAAAAAAAAATTGATTATGGTTGGAACAATTGAGCTTTAATTATTTATTTTACATAACTCCAGATAAAATTTATAGTCTCTTTCTCGATTTATAAAAAATTGTAAATGACGGTAGAGAGGCAGCAGTGCCTTTGAATCGTGACCATAGAGTAATCAGTGACTAGCAGGGAACTGACAATTGTCGTGTTTCGGAAGCGGACATGTGCCGTGTTTCGGGAGCTGACATAGGCCGCGTCTCATAGGCTTCACTGGTCGCGTTGTCGGCACGACAGCAGTCTGTCCTTCTCCAAGTCAAGGAACTAATTGCATCATCTCTTTCACATCTAGCATTTACGAAATAAGAAATCGATTTACTCAAGACACTAATTTGAGACTTTAGCCACTTCCGATATGGTCGAATGAAATAAAATGATGACACTGGACTGAGTGCAGATACGAAGCTAACAAGCGTAAATGTAGAATACTCTAAAATGGGGTGATTTATGATTTGAAACTGTCCCAGTGCGTATGTGGAAACAGCGAAGACGTGGAAAATTGGTATGCAGGCTTGATAAGCGATTGCCTAGAAAATTACTCGATTTGAATGCTTAGCAGAAAATTCTTTTTTTGAATCACCTGAAGTAACTGATGGTGCATACGACGAGTATATTCTGACATATGCCTCTCAGCTTGTAGCTTCATTGCAATGCCTCTTCTCAGCATCAAAATAGCTGTGTAGCCAGGAGCGACAGGTAGAGTCACAAGCAGGACCGTGTACAGCGTTGACCAATTTAGAATGTTTAAATGTCCACTAACACATTCATTGCTTATGTTATAACCGAATAGTTGAGTTATTCTCGCTTTGACTAAATCTTCGCGATCACCACTTGAGCAGAACGAAATCTGAATAACAAATGCTTAC